TATTAGAATTCGCCTCAGCGTGTGTCATCTTGTGTATAAATGGAAAATATGAATATATACTTTTCTGCTTTTCTTGTCTTTTCTCTTTTTAGGTAATTTTTCAGTCTTTCATTTGCTGTAATTTCATGCTCGTCTCTTCTGATAGACATGGGAGCTGTATATTCTAAGGGCGTAGAAGGTCTTTATTCAAGTGTCAAAAGCTTTTTTTTTTTTTTAAATATATTTAACTGGATGAAAACACTTTAAAAACTCATTTTAAACCTTTTTAATATCTGTCTTTAATCTGTCTAAAAGTCTTTTGGTGCATGTTATGATGCCTACTGCAGTTTAGAGAATAGAGTCTGAGCTCCAAAAGCTCCCTCACCATACCTTTCTTCACATCTCTGTCTTTCTCTGTGTCTATTCTGGACTAGAAAAATGTGTGCTGTCAGTCGTTCCTGGTTGGAGGCTCAGCTCTGGTGCTTGGGAGAGATCAGAAGGGACGATTTGTGGTGGCTTGTCTCTCCCAACTCTACCAAAAACCAAAACAGATGTACTTCTAACACTTACAAAATCTCATTTATCTTTTCAAGTGGCTCTCAGAAATGCATCTTGCATCTTGAGATTTGATTTTCTTTCTGCCTGCCATTCATCTTCCTCACTTATTTTTCTTTTGGGATATATAAGTGTGGCTTATCGTGGTCAACTTAAAATCTTAAAATCTATTTAAGAACTGTTTTCAACATTGACAATAATAAGAAATCTTTCTTGAGAACCAAATCAGCATATTTAAATGTTTTCTGAAGGATTGCTGCTGAAAATTCAGCTTTACAATAACAGTAATAAATAACAGAACATTTTAAAATACATTAAAATAGAAAACTGTTCCAGAAAAGTTATTTTAAATTATAATATTTTGCAATATTACTGTTGCACTGCACTTTTTGAGCAAATAAATGCAGCCTCAGTGAGTATGAGACTTCTTTCAAAAACATAAAAAAATCATAATTATGATAATGTTAAATAATGCAGCTTATGATAACAATAAATATTGATTAATGAAGCATTGCCATTGAGATGCATCAAGATGCATTTAACTGTCCTCGAACTTGACTTTTAGTCTTTTTTAGAGATAGAGGCTCAAACAAATATGATTGATTTCTGGGACAGAATGTTCATCATCTCCACATCGCCTATTTAGCACTTTCCAGATCAATTCCCAATGAATAAATCCAGTTTGGTATACATTTCCCCCCATTTTTTTTTTTATATTTTTTTTTTATATATATATATTCCATTTCCTGCAAAATACGGCCCATTAAAATATGTGATATAAAATGTCTAGTAGCAGCTGCTCTAAGTCTCCAGTCTGCTTTATCCCGTCAGCCACCTAATTATCAGAAACATAAATATCAGAGCACGTAAGGATGCGAAAAAGAATGGGAGATAAAGGAGGAGGATGCTATTCTTTCGTCTTAGCAAATTTCTCATTGAAACTCCACACACGCTTTCTATTTCTCCATACTTGCGGTCCTGTGACATTATCGGTGGCTGCAACATATAACAGAAAAGCTATAGCTTATTTTTGCCTTCGATTAAATCTCATATCTCTCATAAAGCAATTTTCTCATAAAACACAGATAATACATGACCGGGAAAGTCTCCAGCAGAGAGGATGGTCTGTGCATTATGGATGTGTTGCCACCACTTGGCCTTCTCTCTCTGAGGAATAGAATTAAACTCGTGTCCCATAGCTCATAGTGGTTCAGAGGCAGAAAACGCATTGGTATGAATAGAGAGGGTGTTTGTGATCCAATCTAAGCAGTACATCACCTTGACAAGGGCACTAGTCGGGTCCCTAAACCCACATGCACAAAGACAATGGCGCACACTCATATACACGCCAAATATCTGATAAAAACTGAATAAAATGAAGCCACTGATATTATGAACACAGCGCCGGTTGTCTTGGGAACCAGAAGTGAAGCCTATCTGGAAGTGATCTACATTATAAACGTTTCCCACCTTCAAGGTTGTACGTTTGGATTTCGAATACAGCCATTCATGTTCCTGAAGAGCATTTCAATCTCTTTTTATGCTCATTTGGGAGGTATTTCTTTGTAGTATTAAATTTATTCAGCCGATAGACCTTGACCTGGCTTAAATGAGGACTATTTCCTCTGATCTGAACTCAATAATTGATGCAGGCAGTTGTGTTTCTGTGAATTGAGAGTTGGAAACAATCCATTCCAAACAGAAAAGGAAAAACATCCCTCTTCAGAGAGGTAGAACTTTTTAACATTCTCTTCAGGGAAACCGACAGGTCTGAGATAATGCTCATTGTGGCTCGTTCCTCCAAAGCACCGGTCTCATTTTCTGCTCCCCGAGGTGTCTTTTGCTGATAGAGATCTTCAGTGCTGTCTGCCTTGATATACTCACCGTGGGACAATGAGACCACCATTTTAAACAGCCTTTGATCAGATAAAAACATTCAGGAGGGGTATACATTTGGTTTTCCTCTTGTTTTCCCTGCATTTTTGGCTCACTGCTTCTATTTATATGGCACTTCATTTGGCGTGGAAAATACAGGTTTATTTTAGTTGCAGGGGGAATTTCTGTCTTCATAGCAGGCTGATATGTGGGAGAGACGGCCTTCTGTGCAACACTGTTAATCTCACCAAGGAGAGATACACGGGTAGAGATGGTGATAAAACCAGCAACAAATAAATAAACTCCTATAGATTTGTATTTAAGCAGGTCCTCAAGCAGTATCTAAGAACCAGAATATCATTAGGTTGAGCTTGTTTTGCATATCAGAATTGTGGAAGCATGTTTTGCACGGGCAGCAGTTTTTTTTATTTTTTATTATAAATATCAAAGTCATTACTTTTGCATTATTTATATATTATTATAATATTTATTAATATTTTGAATGATTTTTTTTTTCATTTCCCCCCCCCCCCCCTTTTTACTTTATTTTTAATATTTTTTG